AGTCCGGGCACCCACGCCCCCCCCCGCTCTAACCCACCAGCCCCCACTCCCCTCCCACAGCTGGGGAGAGAACCCAGGAGTCCGGGCACCCACCTCCCCTGCTCTAACCCACCAGCCCCCACTCCCCTCCCAGAGCCGGGGAGAGAACCCAGGAGTCCGGGCTCCCCTCCCATCCCGGGCCAGGCAGAGAACCCCGGTGTCCGGCTCACCCACGTCCACGGTGATCCATTCGGCCTCGTCGTTGATGTCGAAGCAGTGGGCAGCCGTGAGCACGAAGTACTCGGAGATCAGGGCCCCCTTGCAGGACTCCTGCCCTTTCCCGTGGCGCTGCGGAGAGGGGGGTGTGTGGGGAGACCGGCCTGGGGCAGGAGGGGCTGAGGCCGGGGTCCTGTGCGTGGGGGGCGCTGGGGGGGGCGTGTAGGGAGACCGGCCCGGAGCAGGAAGGGCCAAGGCTGGGGTCCCGTGCATGGGGGGTGCTGGGGGGGCATGTGGGGAGACCGGCCCGGAGCAGGAAGGGCTGAGGCTGGGGTCCCATGCTTGGGGGGCGCTGCGGGAGGGGACCCAGCGCCTGTCTCCAGCAGACATGTAGCAGGTGCTGCATGGCTCCGAGACCCCGGCATGAGGGGGGGGCTCCCCCTGGCCCCCCATAAACCCCCAGCTTCCCTCCCCTGTGCCCCTCCCAGCCCACCCCCGTCGCCTCCAACTCCTTCCCCACACCCCCGTGCCCCGCCTCCCCTCCCAGCTCTCCTGCGCCCCACACCCAGCTCCCCCATGTGTCCCCACCCACCTGCGCCCTCTCCCAGCCAGCCCCCTGCACCCCACATCCCGAGCCCCCTCCCAGCCCCCTGTGGCCTGCACCCCCTGCGCTCTGTACCCACTCCCACCCCCAGCTCCCCCTGCGCCCCACACCCTCTCCAGCCCCCTGTGCTCCCCTCTGCTCCCAGCCCCCCTGTGCCCCAGCCCCACTCACGACGATTTTGATGCTGACGTGCCAGGGGTTTCTCTGGTGGTCATCGGCCTCCTCGTGTGCCCAGCCCAGGCCGCACATGCTCAGCGTCTCGCTCTCGTCTGGGGGGAGACGGGGTCAGGACGCCTGGGTTCTCTCCCAGCTCGGGGAGGGGAGTGGGGGCTGGTGGTTAGAGCGGGGGCAGAGAGCCCGACGCCAGGGTTCCTGTGGGGGTGGGGAGCCGGGGTTCCCGGGGAGGTGGGGGTTGGGGAGCCGGATGCCGGGGTTCCCAGGGAGGGGGGAGCCGGGTGCCGGGGTTTCCGTGGGGGTGGGGAGCCAGATGCTGTGGTTCCTTGGGGGGTGGGGAGCTGGACGCCAGGTTCCCAGGAGGGGGGGCGGGGAGCTGGACACCGGGGTTCCTGGGGTGGTGGGGGTGGGGAGCCGGACGCCAGGGTTCCTGGGGCAGTGGGGGTAGGGAGCTGGACGCTGGGGTTCCCAGAGAGGTGGGGGGCGGGGAGCCGGACCCCAGGGTTCCTGGGGCAGTGGGGGTAGGGAGCCGGACGCCGGGGTTCCCAGGGAAGGGGGAGCCGAACGCCAGGGTTCCCGGGGTACCGATCATCTCGTGGAAGGCCTTCTGCAGGTCCTTGATGTCCTGCATGTGGAAAACATGTTTCTCGCCGCTCTTCTTGGAGGCGAGCTCCGCGATGTTCTCTGAGTTCACCATGGCCCCAATCCCGAACACGTAGATATCTGGGGGGGGGGGGACATGAGCCGGGCCGGGGGACCCCCCCCGTGCAGCCGCCTGCCAACCCCACGGCCCTCCCCCCCGCACCTCCCCGACCCCATGGCCCCAACCCCCACGACCCTCTCCCCCACAGCCCCCCATGGACCCCCCCGCCCATCCCACGGCCCCCCACCCCAAAGACCCCCATGGACCCCCCTGCCAACTCCACAGCCAACCCCCACACACCTCCCCCATGGCCCCCCACGATCTACCCCACTCCCCAGGCCCCGGCCCCCCTCACCCAGGTAATCCTCGCGGGGGTTGCGGACGTCCCGGCCGATGCTCAGCAGCTCCCGGATCTGCCCCACCACCGGCACCGGGGAGCCCCCCATGTTGGTGTTCCCTGGGGGGAGGGGAGAGTGAGGGGGCTGGGGATACAGACGGGAGAGGGGACTCAGAGGATGGGGGTCGGGCACTGTGGGGGGCTGAGGCGCTGCCTGGAGTGAAGGAGTTCGGGGGGGATGTGGGAGGGGTTGGGATTTCAGTGGGGCTGGGAAGGGCACAGGGGACTATAGAGGTGTTCAGCGGTACAGGGGCTCTGGGGGGCTCAGGGGGCCAGAGGGGTTTGGGGGTATAGGGAGTTTGGGGGTCTCACAGTCAGTCATGAGGACCAGCGCATTGCGGGTGGAGTTGGGGGTACAGGGGGGTTGGGGATTGGGGTGCAGAGGTGTTTGGGGGTACAGGGGGTTCGGGGGTCTCACCGTCTGTCATGAAGACCAGCACGTGGCAGGTGGAGTTGGGGTTTGGGGTACAGGGGGATTCAGGGGGTCTCACTGTCCGTCATAAAGACCAGCACGTGGCAGGTGGAGTTGGGGTTTGGGGGTACAGGGGGATTCAGGGGATCTCACCGTCCATCATGAAGACCAGCACGTGGCAGGTGGAGTTGGGGTTTGGGGGTACAGGGGGATTCAGGGGGTCTCACCGTCCGTCATGAAGACCAGCACGTGGCAGGTGGAGTTGGGGTTTGGGGTACAGGGGGATTCGGGGGGTTTCATAGATTTTAGGACTGGAAGGGACCTCGAGAGGTCATCGAGTCCAGTCCCCTGCCCGCATGGCAGGACCAAATACTGTCTAGACCACCCCGGATAGACATTTATCTAACCTACTCTTAAATATCTCCAGAGACGGAGATTCCACAACCTCCCTAGGCAATTTATTCCGGTGTTTAACCACCCTGACAGTTAGGAACTTTTTCCTAATGTCCAACCTAAACCTCGCTTGCTGCAGTTTAAACCCATTGTTTCTGGTTCTATCCTTAGAGGCTAAGGTGAACAAGTTTTCTCCCTCCTCCTTATGACACCCTTTTAAATACCTGAAAACTGCTATCATGTCCCCTCTCAGTCTTCTCTTTTCCAAACTAAACAAAGCCAATTCTTTCAGCCTTCCTTCATAGGTCATGTTCTCAAGACCTTTAATCATTCTTGTTGCTCTTCTCTGGACCCTTTCCAATTTCTCCACATCTTTTTTAAAATGCGGCGCCCAGAACTGGACACAATACTCCAGCTGAGGCCTAACCAGCGCAGAGCAGAGCGGAAGAATGACTTCTCGTGTCTTGCTCGCTCACAACACACCTGTTAATACATCCCAGAATCAGGTTTGCTTTTTTTGCAACAGCAGCACGCTGTTGGCTCAGATTTAGCTTGTGGTCCGCTATAACCCCTAGATCCCTTTCTGCCGTACTCCTTCCTAGACAGTCTCTTCCCATTCTGTATGTGTGAAACTGATTGTTCCTTCCTAAGTGGAGCACTTTGCATTTGTCTTTGTTAAACTTCATCCTGTTTAACTCAGACCATTTCTCCAATTTGTCCAGACAAATTGGCAAATACCCAAAAGCATTCATTCAAAT